TTGTTAGTATCCTCCACTGTGTGTGAATAAGAGCCAGGTGATTCATGTGACTTTGTGAAAGGGTTAAATGTGTAATCTGTATTATCTGTGCTTCTCCATCAGGAGCAAATCAACAGTCTGGTGAACCAGGTGTGTGGACGGGCGATGTTGAAGAATGGGGGGGGTGGAGGTGGTGGAGTCGTCGTCAGTGCAGTGGGGGGGGACCCCTGCCACGGTTTAAGCCCCGCCAAAGCATCGCCAGCCAAGCGAGGCCCCCGGAAGCGCGCCACAGTGGAGGTGTCCCTGGCCCGCCTGTCCTCCACCCACATACCCAAGGCTGCTGCTGTGTCCTGAGGGGACCACCACACCGGCCCACCCCCTCCAAAACTCCCCCTGTTGTTGTTTTCACATCAAGCAGGGACTATCAAACCCTCCTCCACCACCCAATATTTAAGATTGATTGTTTTTGAGCTTTGAAATCCCCTCACCTGACCTCAGCCCCCCCCCCCCCCCCCCCCCCCCCCCCCCCCCCCCCCTCCAAAAAATGATTCACCTTCCCCCCTTAGTACGACAGGCTTGTTTTATAAAAAAGAAAAGGAAAAAAAAGAAAAAGCAAGATGTCTTTTTTGCACTAGTGTGAAAGAAGAATTTGTTTTTATTCTGGATGATTTTAGAACGCCCCCCCCGTCCCTGCTTCAGTCGTCCTTTACAACATTACAAGCATTAAGTGTAACGCTCACAAGAAGACTTGATGGTTATACCCTTTACCTCCATTCTCCCTCCACTAAAATGGGTTTCATGTGTTACCCTTCTCTTGCATCACTCTCTCCTGGCCTCATCTTGCCCCCTGAGACTCAAACCCCCCCCCCCCCTTCTCATCATGCGTCACTCATCTGTGAACATGGGACAAATGAAAAGGCGGCTTTTTTTTCCCCTCTCCAGTTTTGTGAAATGAAATGGCATCAAGTAATTACCCAAAGTTTCCCTCTCTCCTTGCTTCGAGGAAGAGGAGTCCTTTTTTATCGATGTTATCCTTTCTTGATGCAGCTCCTGCATTTTCTTTTAAAGGGGGGTTGGGGACGCGAGGTTAAAACTTGAAAGACAGACGATGTTGGTTTATTGTTGGTTGGCTATGTTTTATCAAGTCCTTTTTTTGAATTTTAGCTTTGTTTTTTGCTAGGTTTTTTTGCAAGAAGTCTTCTGTGTATTTTATTTTGTTGTCATTGTGGATGTTTCTGTTGGTTGGTGGATGTGAGAGGGGCAGAGCTACAGCTGCTTGACCTGAGAAGGGTCCCGCTCACCTCACTTCCTGGTAGTATGGAGGGATCCCTCCTTCGCTAGCAAGTGGAAACTGTGCCTGATACTTGGCGAGGAGATCCATTTTATTGGTGCTGTTGGTTATAATTACTGTATAACGACACAAAATAAAAAATCTGGGGGTTAGCGCCTGCTAGCGGCTAACAGCTAGCCGACGCGCCCCCACCCCACAGGGCAGAAAGGCTCTCAGGCTTTTCTGGTTCTAGATGTGCAATCGTGTTAACATTCCATTCCTCCAGTCCTCTTGTTTCATCTGTACCAGTAAACTTTAATTATTATATTATATTATTATTATTTTGTGTTTTTTACTTCTGTTGGTCTGACGTGTTATCTCAAGTAGAGCCACTAGTCAAAGAGTGTAAAATGTGAAATATCAAATCCAAGTTTTTTTTTGTTTTTAATTCTACTTTGTTTTTGGCTTCATGAATAATTTTTCCCTTTTCCAGATATGAGTGATTTTTAGCGAGAGGAAAAAGACAGACACAAACAAAACATCAACCTTTTTTTGTACATAATCCTGTAAATGTCTTTAAATACTTGAGCCTTTTCTGGGGTTAAGGAAGAAAGAAAGAAAGGAAGGAATAGAGGAGAGAGAAGAAGTTCCAGAGGAGAGTGGTTGATGAAGAAAAAGCCTTACATTTCCCTTTCTTCATTCATGTGAGTTTGACGCTTACAGGGTTGCTCTGGTAAACGTGTATAAAAATTAAGTGCTGCTTAAATCACTAAGAAAGAAGATATTGAGTAGCCAACAACTGCCCCCCCCCCCTCCCCCAATCTAGTTTTGTTTGTTTAGCTTTACTTTTTTAAAGAAAAGGGAAAAAAAAGATATGTTCACGAAAAAAAAAGATGGGTTTTTACATTTTCATTACTGAAAATTCAACAAAAATGTAGTAGCTACTCATGTTGCACTGAGCTTGCCAGTGGTGACTGTCAAGGAAATATCCTATAATCCAGTTTGTTGGTTGTCGTCCCTCGCAGAAGACTGAACTGTTTTAGGACTATTTAATGAAATACCAAGTCGGGTGTTTTCAACATAAAAAAGTGGTTGTCAAGTTTTTATGGCCTTACGATATATTTTATTCTGATGGGATTTTTTTTGTTTGTTCTTCAGTTCATTTTGGTTTTTGTTTCTTCCATTTTCTACAGTATAAACTACTTGCTCACAGTGGGGTCTCTGGTGACTTAATTTATTAGTGCCGCATCTCGGCCTTTCCCTCCACTCGGAAAGAGAGTCTCATGTTGGTTATATTGACAGTTTTTTACTTTTGCAGTTTGTACTTAAGGTTTAATAAAAACTTACCGACAATTCACTGTCATTTCTTTCCAACCTTGTGTCTCTTTGTTTGGTTTCATTATTCAGATTTTAAGTGTTAAGCTAAAAGAGTCTGGTAAAAGTAAAGAGCCATTGCATCCAAGATACAAATACATTTTGAAATGTACGGTAACTCTAGTAGACTATAAAGGAACATTGTTCTAATAAAACCTGTTGACAGTGAGTCCTGTGAATTGTGTAGACAGCAACATCTTTGGAAAAACATAACTTGAGCACAACGCACCATTTCTTTAGCTCCTTATAGTAAAGTGAAGGCAAAATCCTGAAGGCATGTCAACCTTGGGCTAACAACACCCAAAGTGTATTCATGACCAATACTAGATGTAAGTGAGAAAACCTTCTGTTGCATTTTGGGTGAATTGACCCTTACAAACAATACAATTGCCAAAACACTCCATTGAGAGAGCATTACCATAGGCGAAGGTCTCACCGTGACATTATCAAGCTCCACAGTCCGCAGCAGCAGGTGTGGAATACACAACTGCTATTATGTTCATATAACACCGTTTTCACTCTTCACACACAACACATTGTCCATGCAAAACTGTTGGAGGGCCCTGTAGTGTACCATGACCTTAAATAAAGTGCAGAGGAATGACCGCCATGCATCAAATCAGCTTTTTCACAAAGCTCCACTCGTAGCATAACACTCACAGTATAACACTATTGCTTATTTTCCTGTTGAGATATTTTACAAAAAATTAAAGTTAACTTGTTAAAATCATCTTTCTCAATCCAAAACCATTTCCACTCTTCATCCATTTTCTTGTTTCAGCTTTCCATTTCCAAAGAGCTCAGACAGGACCTTAAAGAGTGACTGTTAACATGCTCAAACCCTGACTCCTGCTCAAAGTTCATTATTTAACGTGTGTCAGAAATGCTTTAATGAAAATCAAACAATGTTGGGGAAGAAACATTTATTACCAACAAGTCAGAAACTGTAGGCAGAGGAAAAGAGAGGAAGAAGTAATGCTGCCACATCGCACAAATGTCAACATTTCTGTACAAAAATGTGGATACAGTTTAACCTTCTGGGTGTTCTCCAATGCATAGCACTCAGTCCAAACAGGGATTTGGTCCTCGCTCAAAAGGAGAAGTTTGCCCACGTATTATTGGTCAAAGGAATGGCAATGGGTAACTCTCCTTTGTGTGCGTGTGTGTATATGTGTGTGTTTTAAATCATTGATATATAAGTACCTGAACTCCATCTGTGGCCTGTCAGCTATACAGCACTATTTGGTGTAAAACCCACTGCCAGTTGACTGCCAATGATTGCCATGTTTTTTTTTTTTTTAATCAAAGTATTTTCTAGTTTAGTAGTTTACATTTAAAATATTGCAGAATGTAGCTCATAAACCAGTTCAAGAAATGCAACAAGCTTTGGGGTTCAGCGTATCCATAAAGCCGGGAAACATTACTCGATGTGCCCCTTGCAGATTATTTTTTATTGTTTTGTGCTAATCATGTAGCATTTGCTATATTAAAGGTGGGGTAGGTCATTCACTTCAGAAACACTTTTGGTTATATTCCATGGAATGCTCTTAACATCCCGATAGCAATGAATACATTAAATGCTTTGACAATAAATACATAAAAAAATGTCATCTGTGGAAGCCGTGGCGCTGTAAAAAGCACGACCAATTATTTTAGCCGGCCCAGCTAAAATAACTGGATGGCCTACCTGCCTGTCAGCCTTCCATTGTGCACAAACTTATCTCGTGCCCTCATTGGTAATGTGCACGTTCGTGTGTGTTGGAGGGGCTCTATAAGGAAGTCTGAAGCAAGTGGCAGATTTTTTTCGGCTGTGTACTTTCAAATTCTAGCGCACTCGAGCTGGTTTCTCCATTCTTACCTACCCTACCTTTAAGGTGGCAATTCACCCAACTGCAACTACAAAAAAAGCAAGGTAGTCAAGGTCATTTTTTAAGCATTGCCATAGGGTAACCACAACATCAGCAGAAGAAACCTGGAGAAAATAAAAAGTAGAATTACTACCCGTATTTTGTGTAATCATATAGTCCAAAGAAAAAACACATTTCACTGTTGGCCTGCCAAAGCGGTTCAAAGCTTTTAAAAAATGGCAATCATTTGGGATAAACACCATCATTAAATTGGGTACCACTTTACAATAAGACTACCCTTATAAAGGGTTTACGAATAGTTTGTAATTCATCTATTAATTAGGTTCTGAACACTTTATAAATCATTAATAAGCTTTTACAAGACATGAGATAAACAGGGCAACTGTGAGCGGTTGCTTGCCAAATAGTGAGCCCACATTTATCTGTACTGCTAAGTCTTATATTGGCTACCTAGCTTACTTCGTCTTCTTCATCATCAGCCAGCATCCTCGGTATCTGTTGTTCACAGAGTTGATTCTCGCTAAGTAGCCAATATAAGGCTTAGTCATCTGAGCCTGTGTTGATGTATGAAAACTATGTTAGAACTGGTTTATAAATGGTTCTTAATGATTAATAAAGTGTTTACAACCTAATTCATAACCTAATTATAAACCCTTTATGATTCCTTTATAAGGGTAGTCTTATTGTAAAGTGGTACCTTAAATTGTATTCAGCAAAAGTACTGTTCTCCAACATATATTGATGCTTAATAGAAGATGGACCTTTATTGATACCCCGAGGGGGAAATTCAGTAATAATAATAGCTGCAGTTTAGAGAATATGTTAGCATTAGCATGGAGCAGGGATTCAAAGAAAAACACTGCAAAAGGGCACATGGATGATTATAGTGTACACTTCTCTGTGTACCTATCACCAGTATCAGACCTCTCCTGGTCTCAACACGCAGACACAGAATCTGAATATTAGAGCACTCTGAATAAAGTCAAACCCTTCATGTGCATGTTAAGCCAATCATATGCTAAAGGGAACTCAAACCAATTTAACAGCATTCAATTAGAATTAAACACTTTTTTTTAAGGCAAGGTCATATGGCAGTTAGTGCAACCTCAGTGTATTTTCTTTTTCATTTCTTCATCATGAACATTTGAGATGGAAGCCAATATTATAACTTTTCTCCGTCTGCAGCTCGGTGTGTGTGTGTGTGTGTGTGTTTAAATCCAGTCCATGTGTCCTCCTCAAACCTTCGGCCTGTTGGCCTCACAGTCTTTGCTGCTCCGCTCTTCCCCCCCGTCCACCAGCGCCGTGTCGGGGTGCACCTCCTCTTCATCCAGGGTCACCACCACGGGGGGCCGTCTCCTCCTCCTCGCTCCTCCCCCTGATCCCCCAACACCCCCATCGCCTCCCTGCTCCGTCTCCTCGTCTTCCTCTTCGTCCTCCTCGTCCTCCCCGGCCTCTGTGTCCTGGCTGGCTGAGTCGGTGCAGGTGGAGGAGAGGGAGGAGAGCTTGTGGCGCAGCTCGGCCTGGGTGGGCACCTGGAGACTGATCTCTGTGGTGAAGGACTCCACATCTGGGAAGAGGAGGAGGGGGAGGAGGAGGGGGAGGAGGAGGAGGAGGAGGAGGAGGAGGAGGAGGGGGAGGAGGAGGAGTCATATAGCAGGTAGGTGGATGAGTAAAGCTGTGGCGGTGTACTGCTTTAGTCATTGGGAATTGTAACCCTTTTCTACACTATTCATTTGCTATCTTAGACCAATTACTGCCAATAAAGTCAGAGCACTAATTCCTGGAAGTACTTCACAGGTTTTTTGAATGTGCTTGAAGTTGGCCAGACTCGCTCTCCTACCAGAGGTGGGAAGTAGTGGAGTACAAATATTTCGTTACTGTACTTAGGCCTAAGTACATTTTGCTGGTATCGAAGATTTTTAACTTTGACTTCTTACATTTTTAACTCAAATACCTGTACTTTCTACTTCTTACATTTTCAAAACAGGTTTGTTACTTTAGTTTTAATCTGTGTTTGGTAGCGTGATCATTATTATTAAGAGTCTATTGCCTATTGATTTGAACACGATCCGTGTATCCATCATTTCCTGGTCTTCTCTAAAGAAGAGGGACCAATGAAAACGTTGTCATGTTGCCGTTGTTCAGCATCGAAACATTCATTAGCCAACAATGACATTATTGTTCTATTAATATAAAGGGAGGTCAGGTACTCTTTAAAACAGTTGGTAGTTATGGGTACTTTTTACTTAAGTACATTTCGAAGCCCATACTTCTTTACTGTTACTTGAGTAAAGAAGTTTAGTCAGTACTTCTACTTTTACCAGAGTATTTTTAAACACGAGTATCTGTACTTCTACTTGAGTAAAGGGTGTGTGTACTTTTGCCATCTCTGTCTCCTACAGACATTTGAATGTATCAGAGAATTATTTGCATTACATTATTTTTAGAGAGACCGAGCCGTCAGTGAGATGCTGGAGGTTGTTGACAGTGGAAGGAACTTTCTCCAGCAGATGTGAACAGATGGCGTTTGTGTATCGTGCTTAAACATTGTTCCTGTCAATCTTCTGAGTCACATATTTCTGCTTCATCAAACTCTATGATGTGGATTAGATGTCAAAAGTTAAATCCCTTCAGTAATTAAGCGCTGTTTGAGTTATTATAGTTTGAATGCTTTAGAGGTGTGTTTATGGCCGCCTACCTGCGACAGGCGAGGGTGCCGCTGTTGTCCTCTCCTCCAGAGTGCAGGAACACATCCAGGGCCTCGTGGTCAGACATGTCCATCAGGTCCATCTGCTCCAGCATGTCCACGTTCACCTCCATGGACGACATGCTTCCTATTGGCCCTGCAGGTGAGACGGAGAGATATTAGCCTGGCACCAGACTGAAGAGGGCAGCAGCAAGGGGCTGAGTCCAGGAACACGGTGCTTTGAGTTCTGCATTTCAAAATGTGCCAAGCAGAAAGCAAATGGGCACATTCAAGCTGGATGGCATTGAAATGGGTTAGCTTGTGTACATAAAACATTTGGTTTATGGTCAAATCAACGGCATTACCAAACGAAAAAATGGATTGCCAGGTGTCAGAACATGTACGAAGTATATGAAGGCGACAAGCAACAAATACGTGTCATTAAAGGATAGGTTCACATTTCCTCAAAGGTATCTTAATTCAAATGCCCTTATTTACATTTTAATTGTTTATTTTAAGTCCTTCCATCTATTCATGTGGGCCAACAGAACATCCTCCACTCATGCAATCCCAATTTACAAGATGTGGGACAATATCTACGGTCTAGGTTTTGCTTAAAAAGCTCTCTTGTATCTTTTTTGATCAACATGTGGGCATGGGAGCATGGCATAGAAAGAGTTGTGAAAACGTGATCTTATGCATAGACAGGCTTCAGTGGCTCAGAAGCAAAGAGCCTTCTGAAAGAGAATTGAAATGAACACTTTTACCAGCTTGAAGGATTGGAATCCATCTAGGAATACTGCTAATGATCATGGTACCCACATGTACATTTTAGGGCTGGGTAAAGCATCTTAAAATTGAATTAATGTAAAATGAAATGAAAGATCGACCTGGCAACACGATGCAGTGAACCCAGCATCAGTCCTTTGAATGTACATTACGTTAGAAACAATACAATACTTAAAGCAGATGAGAGCCAAACAGAATGGACTTAACTGACCTTAATATTCAATATAATGTTATTTGTGGTTAATTCTACATTGTCTACATAATTAGTATGACGTGCAAAAGGGCAAAATGTGGTTAAGTTTCACAAAAAAACTCTAATATCTGAGTTGATTTTCTATGGCAGAACCAGCATTACTGGCACTAGGAACTAGCTTGTACTTTAAAAAGGAATATACAAACAAAACCGTTGGAGACCCCTTTTACACCCCCAGCGTTTACACACACGACTCCAGTCCTGATTCACCGCCTTGCAGCGAAACAAACCCCCCCCGTTCACTAGCATGATGTGCTGCATGCGTGACAAACAGCCAGTCAGTGCACTGTGGGGATGAGAGGGGAGTGGGGGGGGTTGGGGGGTGGGGGCAGAGTTGCGAGCACAAGAGGGCGAAGGCGCACAGCAGTGAGAGAAGATGCCATTGGCTACTGTACCTCAAGGAAATGAGGAGAGCAGAGGAGGGCGGCACAGGGAGGGAGAGCAGAAGAGAGAGTGAAGAGAGAGAGAAAGAAGGGGGGAGTTATTTCCCATGGACACCGCTCATAAAGTCTCTGCGTCCTTTGAATAGCAATGCAACATCACACACACACACACACACACACACACACACACACACACACACACACACACACACACACACACACACACACACACACACACACACACACACACACACACACACACACACACACACACACACACACCTGAACCAGCACTATCGCCATGTTGTGAAAGGCTTATCCAGAAAGCAGTGCATTAAGAACATCATTTCCATGTGACTGCTTCTCACATGTTCTTCTTTTAGCCCTACTGTGACCTTGCCTAAAAGGGAAGGAGTGTTTTTGCCTAGAGCGAGATTGGGGAGTGTGTGTGTGTGTGTGTGTGTGTGTGTGTGTGTGTGTGTGTGTGTGTGTGTGTGTGTGTGTGTGTGTGTGTGTGTGTGTGTGTGTGTGTGTGTGTGTGTGTGTGTGTGTGTGTGTGTGACCCTTGAGACTGGCTTTTTGACAGCTCAATGACATCTGCCACCCCCTCTCGCTTTTTTTTTGTCACTATCTCTTTTCATTTTTTGCTCCACATTTATCTCCCCTCTCATCTCCAGCTGGATTTCCGCTCTCGAGTGGCGCCGCCCTGCTGTAGAGATTTGTATTTGGAGAAGAATAATGGGTCTCAGTGTTATTGAGCTCACACACCAAGGCGTATTTTCAGATGTATTTCACCAGAATTATAATGTGAGCCTCCGTTGTACGGATTAACACATATTCGAATATGATTGGTTGATTATTTCTCTGTTGTAGATTTAGTTAAAGCAGCCAAATTGCTAGCCTTTGTAATGTGAATCCCATCTTTTAACGTGTGAAACCAAATTGTAAACATCTCCTCTGTCTTTTTACCGTGAATGAATTTAGGGGATTCTGAATATGAGCTAATGAGCTGTGAATATTTCACTCAGTGAACCTCAAGCCTGGTCACTGTTTTTGTCATGGAGATTATGAAAAACACAGCACTGACTTGAAAGCTGTTTTGAGTGACAGTAAAAATATAAGTCTCTCCCTCTCCTCTCCTTAAGACTCTTTCCTTTCGCTCCCTCTCTCCTCCTTCCTTGCTGCTCCACAATCCTCTCTAATAAGCCATTTCCAGAGGATTAAGGGAGCAGGATTGATGAGTAAAAAAAGAAGAAAAATCACATTGCAAACTCTGGGCCAGTAGATTCCAATACATCTTCAGCATACTATCTCATGCAATCCCTCATTTCAGCAAATCCTTTGGGTATTTTAGCACAGGCTTTTTTCCGTAATACATGAGGTAAACTGCAGCAGGATTCTATTACAATCCCAGTGGAAGCCTACAGTTATGAGGCACGGTGGCATTTTTCAACGTAATGGTTCTACTTGTGTGTTTAGCGACAGGCGCTCAGAGCCTCGCTGCAAAAAGCTATTATGGCTCAATCTTGTGATATGCTGTTGAAGTGTGAAGGTTTCAGCTGATGGCATCAGAGCTGGGGAATTAATTCATTTGAATGCTCGATGGCTTTGCATTCACCCTTGAATTTGTAACAGACACTACAACGTATATTCATAAACATTTTTCCTCTGTAGGCCTCAGACCGAAATATATTCTAAATGTCAAGCTGTTTAAATATATTCAGAGAGGATGACTTTGAAATAAAGAACGCCTTCACACCCACCTCTCCTCTCAGCGATCTGCAGGTATCCGGTGGACAGGTACTGCTCCATGTCTTGCTGGAAGGCCTCCTCAAAGAACTTCTGTCTTTCTTTCAGCTTGACCTGGGGGGTGGGGGCTCCTCCCTGCTCGGCCCCGGGGACCCTCTGTGCGTGCTCCGTGTCTAGCTCCACTGGAAAGAAAAGGGAGAAGAACATGTTTAAGGTTTGCAGGATGGGGTTAGGTGCTGGACACAGTGTTGAAAGAAGTACTCGGATGTTTTGCTTGAGTAAAAGTCGCAATAATACATTGATTGTTAAAATACTTTGTTACAAGTTAAAGTCTTGCATTCATTTTAGAATCGTGCAAACATATTGGATTATGAGGTGTTAGTGTGCTGGTACATGTAGAGCTAATTTAAATTACTTAATATACTGCTGCTGGATATCATAACCAGGGGTGCACATAACTGGTACGCAGGTACGCATGCGCGGCAAAAACCTGAATTGCATAACGTCACTTGTGTCACTACCTATGGTCACTACGCGCCTTCGCGTACCTCAAAACATCAAAAACAAAACACATATTTCGTCTACACGTGTTTCTTGTCAACACTCAATGGCGTAAACTACTAGACATGTCAAGACATTAGGCAGCTACGTTGCCGTTTCGCTCCCTGCTAAAAATCTTCGGACTTTCTATGACTGATTGAACTGGGTGCTGGCCGAGCCGCGCAGGACATAACCAACGGACCTGTGAAGCTTTGCAGGAGGCAGAGGCTTAGATCACTGGACGACAGAGTTCAGTGGGAGACTCCCCTTCCGTGCCCCGCGCACACACTGGAGAACTGCGCAAAATCAGCTCATCACAACGTTCACGCTCTGTGGTCAAGCTGCTGCAGTTTTATTTACAACAAAGTGGAGTAAAAACACACAGTTGCAAACTTACTCAGGGTGTTAATGGAAGAGTTTGAAATCAGACAGAGGTGGAAGAGTACTCAGATCTTGTGTAGGAATACTCTGTTACAGTAAAAGTCCTGCATTCAAAATGTTACTCAAGTAAAATTAGAAAAGTATTATCAAAATATAGTATGTAACGTACTTGAATAAGTGTACTTAGTAACTTCCCACATCTGAAATCAGATATGACTTCAAGTCATGTGATAATTTCTTAGTATTTGATCCTTCAACTTGGCCTCAGGAAATGCAAGGACTTCACAGTTTTGGCAACAAGTTTTGAAGAAAGCAAATCGGAGGCTTAAAAAGAGACAGGGAGGTACATCTTCATCATCTTCATCATAGCATGCAAGAAGTGTAAATAGAGGACAGTGAAGGAGACACTGAGGAGGACCACGCTTCGTGTGGGGTGAGTACCAAACGCTGTCTCCTGGTACTCATCTGAGTAACTCACTAAAAAAGTTATGATCACCCCTGATCATAACCTATACATATATGTAATTGTTCATTAAATAATTGATTTATATTTTGTATTAGCTAATAATCTAAATAGCAACTAAAAGCTGTCAATTAAATGTAGTGGCGTGAAAAATAACAATATTGGCTCCTAAAATGTAGTGGAGTAGAAGTTTACAGTAGCATAAAGTGAAAATACTCAGGTAAAGTTCAAGTACCTCAAAATTGTACTTGAGTACAGTACTTCAGTAAATGTACTTTGCTACTATCCACCACTGGTAGCACATGAGATGGAAACACGTTCAACTAGAAAGCAACAGAAGAGCATAAAACTCCACCAAAAATGTGCAATTATGTCAAACATATCCATCGATGATGCCTTAAATATTTCAGAGGTCTAATGCAGAGTATCTCAAACCTGAATAACCACCAAGGTACCCAATACATTTTAATGAAATGATATTCATGTTGTTTTGGTTTGTTCTCTTGACATACAGGAAGGGGAAAATATGTCTCACTTTTATATAAAGCCTAAACTTAACTTACCTACAAAACGTATCATACGAAAACTTTTTTATTGAAATTAATGAGGCTTATGGCAGATAGAAAAGCAGCCAAATTCAATCTCTACCGAAGCAGAACGATGTAGAGCGCAGCGCTCCACAGCATTCACATATTCTGCCGTTATACCCTCAGTGACTCAATACTCTGTCTCCTGTGGGTTTGCACGGAGGGTACCTCACTCAGAAAAGTCTCACACATGCAACCCCCACCCCCCCCCCCTCTGCTGCACGCACTTCAGTCTCCTGCTGTCCGTATCCCCAGCCATTAAAGGGGATGAAAACATACAGTGCTGAAAACAATTGACTGCTGTTCCTGCATACCCTTTCTCGAATGTAAAGGGCATTCAGTTTTTATAAAGTCACTGAGTTTGACATACATTATGGGGTTAGACTGAAATGGTCTGTTGGTTAGTTTGCATTGTAGAATAACCCTTCATTTCCTCCTATCTAAAATATGCAATTTTGCCAAAATGTCTACGAATCATCCTGTGTAGCATATGAAAATAACGGAATATTTAACATGCTGAACAGTGATTCTTTGATGTGCCTTGTATTGACAAGGTTTTAACTGGATGGATTCTGATTGGTGCATGCAGGACTCTGGAGCAGATTGTGATTGGCCGGTGCATCAGGCCCTGTCCTGGCAGAGATGTCTGGGGACTGGAAGGAGAGCATTAAAGAGACTGGGTGACCCAAAGCATGACTCTGCAGATAGATAAACATTCTATTAGTGTGTGTGTGTGTGTGTGTGTGTGTGTGTGTGTGTGTGTGTGTGTGTGTGTGTGTGTGTGTGTGTGTGTGTGTGTGTGTGTGTGTGTGTGTGTGTGTGTGTGTGTGTGTGTGTGTGTGTGTGTGTGTGTGTGTGTGTGTGTGTGCGTGCGTGCGTGCGTGCGTGCGTGCGTGCGTGCGTGCGTGCGTGCGTGCGTGCGTGCGTGCGTGCGTGCGTGCGTGCGTGTGTGACAGCCTGTAGTCTCAGACAGTCTGTCTCTTTAGTTCACTTGTTTTTACTTTGATAGATGGCAGCATTATATAAGACCATGCTGTCACTAACTGATGCAACTGCCAGAGATGTACATATAACATGTCTGATGTTTCCCACATCTTCAAACCTGGGTTTTTAAGAACAAAAAAAATCCTATTTAGGGAATTTTGTGTTTGTGTTTGTGCATTGCATATTTGAATTGACTTCTGTTCATTTAGTATATTAGATATCAACCAATAACTTTGCCTCTACCTTTTTTAACTTCTTCTTAATAGTATCATCCACTGGCAAGACTTTAGTCATTATGGTTGAAGTATGTGATAACTATAATTCTGCTTAGGCCAAGTTTTACTCAAATGCAATAATCTGTTCTTGTTCCCATTGCTACCGCTGAACATTTTATCTACTGCATGAATAGGGCTGTATAAAGGAAAATGTAACTTTATAATAATAGCAATTGTGAAGCATGACAACATGCAGACAGCAGCCCACTGTACAAAAAAGCCATGACATCAGTATAAAACCAGCAACACTCTGTTATCCCTAAAAGGAGCCAAAGATGTTGGCAGACTGACAAAGTCACAGTCACAGAGGTCTAAGGTCAGAGGTCAGTGGTTGAACATTACCTCCTTATGACTATTTGCGTTCAATTGCATTAACATCCCAGGTCATATTAAGCTGCCTGTCTTAGCTCTGCGTCAGTCTCTGCTTCCTCTGTAAACACCAGCCCTCTAAAATCCAAACAGAGCTCCAGGAGTGTTTAGAGTCCTGCAGGAGCAGAGTGGGCACACGGACAAGAGTCCTGATGAAAGAGGGTGGGCTCTGGAGGGGCTTGCAGCAGATGGACACACACAAAGACAAGAACAATGATGTCCCACCAGAGCTCCCTGATGATGAACATCACACCAACAGCCCTTGGAGACTCGGAGGAGAAAAGCCGCCCCTCTCTCTCTACAGTATGTCATTCCTCACTCAGTGTCCAATTTATCTCCTTTATCTGACAAGCCGTCTTTTTTCTCCATCACTCCCTCACTCTTCCCTCCGGACTCTATCATACCCTCTCTGCTGGCTGGTGTGTGTGTGTGTGTGTGTGTGTGTGTGTGTGTGGATGTCTTGTAGAGACTGTTCTATTAGATTAGGGGCCTTGGGGAAGCTTTGTTTGGATTGTCGAGCATTGTGTGGGGTTAGTAACAGAGGACAGAGAGGGAGTGAGGGAGAAGGAAGGCAGTGTGTTTAGTTATAATTAGGGTTTGTGGTCAGACAGCACTAATGATGTAGCTAGATCCGGTCTTTTTATCTCTCCGTCACTAATCGAATTCTCAATCCATTATTACCAGAAGCGACAGCGACGCTGGTATTGTTTTCACCTTGTGGGTCTCTGTGTGTGTGTGTGTGTGTGTGTGTGTGTGTGTGTGTGTGTGTGTGTGTGTGTGTGTGTGTGTGTGTGTGTGTGTGTGTGTGTGTGTGTGTGTGTGTGTGTGTGTGTGTGTGTGTGTGTGTGTGTGTGTGTGTGTGTGTGTGTTCATCAAATGCCGTCCAATGGACACCTAGCTTGATCTACCACAGAGCTGGTTTGCAGTACTTTGCCAGATGTTTGTATGTCTGTAAACAGTTTTTGTGTCCCAACTGTGGAAGATGCATTTGTTAAACACATTTGTGTGGAGTTTACATTTTTTTTTTAAGTTTGAAGATGGGTATTGTCCAAGCAAGTGAACCTGAATTATGGGAGTAAGAAGTGGGGAACGGGCAATAATCTCAATCCCTGGCCCAGTTTGGCCCAGTTGATCCCATTCTAATGGTGCATTTCCACTGCAGGGCCTCGCACAGCTTAGTACGGTATAGTTAGGCCTTGGTAGGCCAGGCTCACTTTATGCTGCGTTTCCATTACAGTTTAGTAGCTGGGGCAGTAACTATAGTAACGCAGTGTAGGCGGAGCCGTGACGTAATCTTCAATGCAAACCACAAAACCAACATCAGCCGTTAGCTATTAGCACTCAAGCTCACAGCTCCTCATATCTGTTCAGAAACTAGACAAGTTAAACAAGTACAAACCACAGACTGCCTGTGTCATGACGAATACAGTCGCTGGTTTATTTATGTCTGTAGGCCGTTGTTGTGTGTGTGGACGGTCGGAGCATATACAACGTTAGTTTAGCCGATCTCCATTCAGAAAACACGCATTTTAAAAGGTTTTTCGCCTGCCGTCTGTCTGCAGACTTGTCAAAGCATTAATTCA